TGTAATAACAGTGTCCGTAATTATTAAGGAAGAAAAAATAACAATGAATGATTGGGACTAAAAATAAATGAGCCTAGAGGTTGCAATTCCTTCTTATATAGGAGTGCCCTCTGCAGTCTAGTAAATCAGGAGCAATGTTGTGCCAGCTCGCACTGTATTATACCAGGGGAAATTAGGAATAACAAAGCCAGCACAGTAAGTCGGGATGTGGAGAACTTTTGAAAGCCTGTAATATGGGATTTAAAGTATTCATACACAATTCCAGAGGATAAATGCTAACCTCTTTCTTCTTACAGACATGTTGAAAGACCTCTGCAAACTTAAGAGGTTGTTTATCAGATGTAAAAGTTGCAGCTGAGAAATAACAACTTTCATCTTTGCTGCTTGGACATGGGGTATTTTAGTCTGTTTCAAAGCTTAGCAAAAATTGTAAAGTGATCTTCAGGAATTTTCTTCAAAGGGGACATTGTCTGTGTCCTTTCAAGATTTTAAGCTCTAAAGCTGGTCACATGCTGCCATAATATTTTAATGTCATTCCTAGCTGGCAGGTAGCAACTTGCTTTTCATCAGTGCATTATGTAAGTAACCCAAGCATCAAGATGTGACCTCCTTTTAAAAAACACATTTCTTTGTCAACTGCAAATTTTACAGGAACATCACTTCGGCTTTTATAAGGCTTCATAAAAATAATTACTTAAATATAAAAAAGTGTTTGCAAAAGAATATTTAATTAGGGGGAGGGGGAGAAGACTCTAAGCTTCTAAAAGTTTACACCGCCTCCAATTACTTTTCATGCTTGACTATGTAGCAGGGAATACTTCATTATACCAGGTCACCAACTTTGACATCTCTAACCCCACAATAATAGCCCTTTTTGTAATGTACCAAAATTGAAAATCAGTTTAGTTTGTGTTCTCACTAGGTTCATGGCTCCAGAGTCTAATATATTGCTGACTTGTATGCCAGCATTACTCCCTAGTGAGGAATATTAAATACCCACAGCATATATTAGGAGGGGTGAAAAGGTCCAGCTCAAGTCTGCTGGGTAGTTCACATTCGTTAGCGTTTTAAAAACTCAATAAGTTGCATAATGTTTCCACTTATCCGTGAAATTGTGGTATGATTCATATCATAGGCATCTTTAAATGATTTGTAGCCCACTTTAGTAGGTATTCCACATAAATAAATACTTCCTAGGTTTGTATACATGACTTGCGTTAGTCAGTATCATAAAGAGCCACAATAATGCCTGACCTATACTACTGTGGCAAGAAGTTCCTACATCTAATGAAACCCCCCAAAGAGCCAACAGGAATGGAATAATGCAGAACACCTCTGCTTGGAATAGACATTTTTTTGTAGCTTATCAAAATGTGAAAGCTATTTCCCTCTATCTAAAGTTTCTGTGCTTTCTACTTCTAATATTCTCTGTGCCTTCAAAAAGTTAATAGGTTGTGTCATTAAAATTAATGCTGATATACAGGCCTACAGTGTTTGACTGCTGCTAGCTGGTTTGCTCCTTGATGGTGCTAGCTCCTTAGCTCTAATCTATGTCACAAATTGGACAAGATCCCTGTTTTTCAGGGGTCTTACTTTATCAGTGAGAATATCTTCCTGCAGTAGAATAGTGTTTTTTCCAAGTATGTAGTAATTTTTCAAAAGAAAAAATACTTACAGAAGCTGAAGGATGATTGCTGTCCAGAGAAATCTGCTTTTTTTCTTCTTTTTTTTCCCCACCATAATACGGTACATTGTCTTCAAGAAAGCAGGGGATGCTAAATAGAAGGGAACAAAAGATAAACTTCATCAGACTTAACAATAGAAGGGCTCAGTAAACAGCCCTCTTAAACAAATAGGCTGGCTCCTGAGGGATCCTTTCAGAATCACTTATTCTTCCTGTTGAAATTTTGGGAGTTTCACCAAAGTAAAATTTCAGCAAAGTACCATCATCCAGAGAATAAAGCAGGTATCACAAACTCCTGTCATGTTTTTCACAGTCTTTCTGGAGCATCCTTAACGCTTTTTGCTACATGTTTGTGTAATCGTAGCTACTGGTAGCAAATCCATGCAACCATGCAAAGTGAAATGTAGTGTGAGGCACAGCAAAGCATGAAAAGAATCTCTTCTATAAAGAACTACAACACAAAGAATTGCCTGACAGTGGGTTCTTGCAAAACAAAGACTCAGATTCCATATCTCAGTGTATGTGCACTTGTGACAGATGCTGCAGTTACACCATGAAGGCTTCCCCATGTAACTCCAAGTGATCAAGTATCACCACTGAGTTGGCAGTTGTGGCCAGGCCACGTGCCCTGCTACAAACCATGTTGTGCAACAGCCAGCACAGATGCCCACAGTGCTGTCTAGAGGCAGCCTGAAGGGCTGACACCAGGCATTTTCACCTTCTGCAGAGCAGGACTGGGGCAGAGCTCCTGCTCCTACCAGCCAAGCTCCTGGCGAGGTGACTGTTTTATATGAGTCAAGTGAGACAGTGATCATAACACATTGTTGGCTCAGTGTCTATGGATCTGTAAGTCCCAGCTAAGTAAGAAAATAATATCACTTTTCACTTCTGATTTATCTGATATATTTTGAAAAGGATCATACCTATACTTAAAGCAAAGGTACTTTCTGGAAAACAAAAAACAAACACAAAGACTAACAACAAAAACACAAACCTTTGCATACTGTAAGTTGTTTTTTTTCGCTGTGATTTTTCTTCTTTTATCTGTCTTATGTATCTACAAGGAGGAAAGTAAAACAACAGACAATCCACATATATTATTACTTTGTTTTATCATAATGATGATGGACATTTTCAGCTTCTCATGTTAGAAAAACACTGAAATATCCGTTGGAGTCTACTATTTATACAAAAAAACACAATGTTACTGAAAAAGACAGCTTGTCATATTGATATTGATATAAACTGCATATTCTTGAATTTTGATTGCAGGGTAAACCTACAGGTAGGTTTTGTTTGTTTGTTTGTTTGTTTTACTATCTACTCTCTTTTCCACCATTAGTCTTTTGAATGTTTTCCCTTTCCTCTGTACTCCATGCCAAATCACCTGAAGGACGTACAATCAACTAGCATGAATGTGGGTCTTAAATGTGCAAAGCAAGCAGCCTATTGTGCAGACAGATTCTTCAGCTTAAGTATATGAACTGAATCTCCCCCACAACATCATGTAGCAAAGTCTGAACTCTCGCAGCATGTTCTTTATGCGCTGTCACATGCAGATGACCTCTTTCACCACAGCTGGGCCCAACTGTGCTTCCTTTGCAGAGTGATTGCCTCACGCATTCTACGGAACATGCAGATCTGGGTACACCTCTCTCCTGAGAAAGTATGTTATCTCTCCCTATGGAAAAAAAAGGCACTGGGTCTATGTATCCTGACCTAATTCTGACTTCCCTTCTCACACATCAGAATAATTTCTTGAAAACTTATTTTCTTGATCAACAAGATGAGGATATGATCCTATTTCTCTTTTCACCTTTAAAAACTTACATACAATGCATGTATCAATGCAGCATGTGCCTATAAATGACACTATACTGGTTCAGGATATATTATGTGACAGGCAGAAATGTTCATATAAAATGGTAAACAAACAATCAATATAATTATTGTAATGTGAGAACCAGAGGGTACTTGGACATAAAACATTTTGTATGAGCAGAAACCCAATGCAAATATTCCTAAAATGTTGGCTGGCAGCCATTTCAAAAATGGTCAGATTTTCTTTAGGTGAACCAGATGTAAATATGTGACACTTCTGGCTAACTTCTTTTTATTTGATTTCCCTGAGGATTACAGTATTTCCAGTCAACACTGTGGTTTTTCTGTACATTAGAATATGTATTTATGAGATAGATAACAGCTCAATTCCTCATTAGTCTTCATAATTTCACCATTATCATTGCTGTTCATGTCTTTCCCAGCCACAACATTACACTAATCTGCCAGAGAAGGAGTCTCTTGTTCCAACAGTGTCAGCTGAACATTCAGAATATATAAGGACACTTTGGGGGAGAAATCTTCCCTGACAAGGGGCAGGACTGGGTCCTAACAGCTCTGAGTTCTTGGGACTACAATAAGAGTTTATCAGAAGCCTGTCTGTCAAAAGCCCCATCTGGCTCCAGGTTTGCCCCCTGAGTTAGACTGGGTGCTCTCAGGAGATGGGATCTGCAGAGGTGACTGCAGAAATAGATTCAATCAACAGAACATGTCACATTTACAGAGCTGAATGAAGCTCACATTTGTGTTTTTTTCTGTCAGCCTCAGGGTTTTCTAAAGGAGCAGCCCAGGTGGCTTTCAGCAGTGGTGACTCAGGCTTACCTGCAGGAAGCAGCAGGGACATAGGAGGGCAAGCAGAGGCAGGAAAGGAAAGAAGAGAGAAATGTCTGGGTCACTTGTGGCATGGAGACATCAAACCTAAGCTGTCCTCATTATACAGCAATTAGAAATGCTGCTCCAGTAGCTGAGAATATACATTTCTGTGAATGGCACTCATCCTTCTCCTCCATCTCACTTTGAAGGAGAAGCAGCAAAGCTATCCTCTCTCACCCATTCATGCTCCTCTGGGTATCAGTGTGCACACAGGGACCCCCCTGAGCATCTCAAAAAGCTGTGCCCGCCATGGCAGAGAAGCAAGGAGCTGGCTGCCTGCCCTGGCTGGAAAAGTACTCCAGTGCCCTTTCTAGTGAAGGGTAGCAAAGCATCCTCCAGCTCAGCTTTGCTTAAGATGCACAGTTCAACTCTTTTGCAGAAGAGTTTTTTCTGCCTTCATAAATTCCTACAAGAAATTCCCCACACCACAGCAGAATGACACTGTGGTCTGGAAAAGGTCTGTCTTCATGCATTTGTTAAAATAAATGCTAAACTACAAAAAAGTCCCCTTTCTAAGGATGTGGGTATTCTTGATGTTTCTTTAAAGCAAACTGCAATGCATTCTGAACAATGTTCAGAACAATGTTCAGAGTCCCGCTGAGGCTTCTATGGCTTAGTTGCGCTTTATTCCCTTTTACCCACTCACATACATGTTTTACCAATTTAAACTTTTTATAGATCCTCCTGAATTCTTCTCTTCTTTTCTCTTAGCATTTCACTCTTCTTTGCTTTTCTTGTTTCAGCCTTCGCTCAAGTACAGAGTGCCTTCCATGTCTATGAAAAACCATACAGGATGGTTCCTACAGAATAATAGAATTGATTGAGTTGGAATCAGCTGGTTAAAGACCATTTAGTCTTACTCCCCTGAGATGAACAGGAACACCTACAGCTATATCAGGTTGCTCAAAGCCTGATCCAGCCTGACCTTGAGTGGGTAAATAAGGGCTAAAAGAAGGAGTAAGGAAAAAGAAACAAATGGACTTTGCATTGCAACACATCTTTCCCTGGCTCTTCTATACAAAGTGAGTTACACTGCTTTAAGAGCCTTTGTCATTCCAAGACAATAAATTACAGATAGAAGACATAAAAGACACTAATGGAATCATCACTTATAATCTAACTTGTCAAAAAGAAAAAAATCCTGAACTTACAGCACTAATTACACAGTTGGATGCCTGAATATACTCCTGAAGTTGTATGGATTCCTTATAAATCAATGCCATATTCTGGGTGCTAGACAGAGTGAATAAATAAATATATTAAAATATAATCAGATAATATATAAGCATATTTAAAATAAAACATCTAGAAAGTCATAGCAATTTACCTTTCAACCAGGAATAACTAGAATCATTTTGAGCCCTGTCTTCTTCAGCATTGAGACAACAACAAATTCCAGTGGGTTCTGTATCACTTTTTTGCAAGACAAGGTAAGATCAGATTCATGCTAAGCTAATATATTCGTTCATCTTTTAGAGCTTATCCTCAGCTAAAATTCTTTTTGTATCTGTGTAGTATAACAAGTCTCTTAACAGTTCAAAAGCATACTCCCTAACAAAGCACTGAATTTAGGGACTAATAACAAATCTGAATTCTAAGAAAGAAAAAAATGCTGGACTTTCTCAGTTGATAACTGCCTGCTTCTTATATAAGACCTCTGTGCTAAGCTGAGCTGATTATAAAATAATAAGAATAGTTTTCCTAGAAAAATGTAAGCGCTGTCTTAAAGACAGATCCTCGCTGATCTCAAATACAAGACTTGGATTCTATTTTTAAGTGGGAATCACAAACAATATTTATGTAGAAAAGAGCAATGTGCAAAATGTGCAATGTGTGAAGTTTTTCAAATTATTTCTGGCAGTTACACCACGTTAGATAAGGGATGACGGAGGCATGAGCAAATGTCTTGGCATCACTTGGTGCGAGCTTGGAGCTCTGCCTAGCAACATTTCTAAAATGAATCAAAGATCATCTGGCATCCTGCTTGATCTTTACCTAATGCATACATTGGGGCTCAGGCTTCCCCTATATATTGTGATGTTGCTAACATTGTTGTTTCATTTCAGTATCACATCTAAAGTTGGGAATATTTGTAAGGCATGCCCAGTGGCGTGGTAATAAACATCGCTTCACTAAAAGTCATAGGTTGGTCTTCATCTGTTTTGGCCTTAATCATGCAGTAGGAGATCAAAACATGTTAACCGCTTAGGAAGAAAAAATAAGGTCACTCCAGAGATGTGTCCCCAACAGTGCGCATAGCATTCTATGAACTAATTTGCCTGCTGTAGGGGTGCTGGCCTGCTTTGCAGGGGTGCTGGACGCTATGATCTCTAGAGGTCCCTTCCAGACCCTACAATTCTGTGATAATGTGATTTCAGTTAGAGTTTGTTTTTGTTCAGTTGAAGAACAAGATTCCATTGGAGATGAATATTGTCTGAAAGATGTAAATATCCATTTCTGATTTACATTTAACTTGGAGCAACTCAAGTAGGGTCTGAACCCTATTCAAGACTGCACTGGGAAACACAGAAGTCTAGGGAGAGTACAGTCCCAGACTTAGCTATATGAACTGGATGGAATATTCTGTTCAAATAGGAGGCAAATCATTTTAGAAAATGGCATTAGTTTATTTTTTACAAACTAGGAAAGAATTGCTTCAGGCAACTGAAGGAAGCAGCAATTGCCCGTTTTATTCTTTCTTCTGCCTCAGAGGATATAAAGCAATGAGTCAACTTTGATTCCCTCTTCAGTCCCACAGTCAGAGGGGCTGCCAAGTATATATTTGGTTCCCAAGGGCAAGAGGCCTACAAGCAGATATTTGTGATACTTATCCCTCTGGCTAGTGCTGAAAATTAAAGACACATGATGTTCAAACTCAAAACAACAGGCATAGCTTTCCAAAGACAACCAGCTGCTTCATTGGAAACTGCCAGAGCAAACAACTAGGAATTCAGCAAGGCTATTCACAAAGCCTGCTTTCTAGCTTGATGGTTTGGTATTTTCTGGTATGAGAGGAGACAAGTTAATTATTTCAGAAAGGTGATAAAAGTGATTATTTATCATCCACTTTGTCCAGTTCAGGAGGTAAGGATATATACATATTCTGATTGAAAAAATAACTGAAGTTTCCTCAGTCAGCAAAGTAGTCCATGACATTCATATTTCATTCATATTTCCTAAGTACTAAGCATGTATTACATTCTGAGAAATTAGGAGGTCACTATAAAAACTGAGAGGAACTGTCATGATTATTTTTTCTTATTTATTTTTTTTCCACATGGTTTGCTAAAAGAAAGTGAGAGAAACTGACACAACACAAGTTGTCAAATTGAGTCTCTACCAGCTATGCTTCATATAGGTCCAGATAACTCTTTGCTGATGTGGTCTGATTACAACAAAAAGCCACAATCTGACATACATAACAACTTCACTGCTGTAGTCAAGTAAACAGAGAGGCAGACCGTCGAGTTAACTCTACTCAGGAGAATCACACTGAATTTATCTGAGTAGACAGAGAATTTAACCTATTTCATACAGTAATCCATCTCCTATACAAGAATGTGAAGGAATGCCAAAAGTATGTTACTAAACTTCCCAACAGTTTAATTTTTCTGCGTACCATCTTTGAACTTGTAAAATGCCGTGCTCCTGCCAATGAATATCACTTCTCATGCTTTGGCTAGGTCATTGACGATTATTAACTAAAGCCCACAAAACTGAAATAACTCTAGAATTCTACAAGTGTGAAAGTATTATGGTGGAAACTGAAAAATGCTACAAAAACAAGAACAACACTAGTCCTATAAAAGCTGTTGCCAGAAGAGTAAAATCCAGCCTAAAAAAAAGATTTTTAAAAAGGCATTGCTTAACAAAGCTAGAAACACGTGAACTATCAGCTACATATCAGACGCTCAAATTAGCACCAGCTTCTTCACCAATGGATGGCAAAGCATCTGGATGTGAACTTTATCTAAACTCTCTCCTGACTTAGACAGCGATTCGATCTATGGAGGGCATGACTCTACACAGTTTCTAAATTTCCCTATTCTAACTGGGTTCAATACTCTCTGAAAAATAATACTTTATACAAAGCTGTTAAATGCTGCTTGCTATTTCCTTGAACACTCTCTTTTCTTACTAAGAAGTTATACTGAATATTCCAGCTCCAGTTTTAGAGATTAGTCTGGTTCTTGGTAATTAAGATCTTGTTTCATAACTTCTCATATCTGAATGGAAATAAGTGGGAGTGCATCGCAGTTGAGGATTACAACTTTCTCATTTCTATCTATTCCAATATCATAGGTTTGAAAAACCATCTGATAAGTGAGTATAATTGCATTTGCATTCCCTCAACAGAAGAATAAAAAAATGAAACAGAATTTAAAAAAATGAAACAAATAAGTCAAGGGAAGGAAAAGGGCCAAGATGTAAAGGTCTGCCAAAAAAAAAAAATATGATTTTCTCTCTATCCATCTATAACTAATATATAATTGTAAAGATATAGCTAGATGAAAAAAAGGTGAAAAGATGACAAGGAGAAAAATGTATTTGTTCTTAAGATAAGATACTGCCAAAGAAGAGAAATTGTTGAATAGCTGATCTTCACAGCTTTTCCTAAAGACCCAGATCCTTCAAAGCGGTCTCAATTGAATGTCTCAAAGTGGTCTCAACTCAACTGAAACTGGCAATTTAATCCCTGTTCAGCTCATATTTGATCCTGCCTTTTACTGATATAGTTTTGATTTCTGATCAGGATCACATTTTTCCTTTTTTTCCCCTTCTTCTACTAACATTTTGTATGTGACTGAATAGTTCTACGGAAAATATGGGTTTTAAATTACTAGAGCTGGGGGAATTGACAGTTCAGATGAACTACATGAATGTTTGAAAACCAAAAATCTCTCTATGAAGGCTAGTGATAACTTGTTCTTCAAGATACTGTTTCTTAAGTTGTCCTTTCTTAAATAGAGAGGTAATTTAGAAAATCATCATAGAAGCAAACAGGCCATCTTTTCTTTTCTAGAATAGCACTTTCTGAGGAAGCGTGGAAAAATATGTAGTGTGTTCTAAGGGATTTATCCTGAATAGGTGTCTGAAAGTGTCGTAGGCGCTACATTTGTGAGCAGACATTCATGGTTTCCAGTAAGCCTTTTAGAAGCATTAAAGTGATGAAACTTCTGAAACTTGGGACTTCTCCTGCGAGCATACAATAAACAACTAAAAAAAATCAGTGAACCAACTAAACAAACAAACAAACAAAATCAAAATCAGAACCACAAAACCAATAATAAAAATTCATTCGGAGGTATAACTAGGATCTGTTTATAGAAATGAAAAACAGCTTTGTACTCTTTCTCTGCATGCACGCACTGCTGAAGCATGCATTTTGGATGCCTCCATATGAATACACTACATTCTGGCAACGTGGCAAAAAGCCAATAAGATAAAACACATTATGAGATCATATTTTGTAAATCAGAACTTTCCCAAAGAGCATTAATGACATAAGAGATCTAGAAATTAGTAAAAAATATCAGTGGTTTTCATCTCTAAGAGCTCATTTTATCTTTATACCTATTTCCCACAGTCTAAGCTATATGAAATTCATAACAGTTGTGAGTACAACAGTTAAAACAGTACTAAAGAACTGGACTGGATCACCACTTTAGGGATCTGGATGACTACAGCATCATCTCTGAATGCAGATGTAAATGGATAATGGATTCATTCTGAATTACACAATTGTAAATCTGGAATAACACCTCTCAGGCCTTTGGATATTCTGTGAAGTTATAGAAACATAGAAGAGCTCAAAATCTGTCCAAAAACACAATAAAGCTATCATTTATTCTTAAAGTACTTGAAAAAATATTTACTAGCAGAGGAATGGCAAAAATAAAGACAGAAATTCATAAAAAGAGTAAAATGTTTAACAGGAGAAAAATACATTCAAAGATTAATTATTCTGGCACTACAAATTATAACAACTAACCAATTTCTTGATTGCTTTCAAACTTTTCAAACACCTGAGCTTACAAGCAGGTTGTATTCTTAAATTGCCTCTAGATATAATATTCCCAGAAAGACACAGACTGTAAACAATGAAACATAATTAAAATAGTTTGAAAAATCCCTGTGAAAATACCTCTGATTAAATTATTTAATCTTTAGTTTGGGCAGCAAATTTCCCAGGATTATATGTACCTACATTACAGTATGGATCAAAGTGCCGAGCATGTAAAATGAGAAACAGGCCACTACAAAAACGACTGAGTTAATCCATGGTATACACTTTTCTATCACAGCAAATGCTGTTCCTGTGCACTGAGCCATCAGTAATCTCAGTTCATTTTCCTGCAAATAATACAGCCCTGGTTAGATCAATTCATACTTTCAAAGTTACTGTACTTTAATTTGTCCATACTTTAAACTTAATCGGCAAACCACAGTCCGATATATTTTATGCAGATGTAATTGCTAGTAGAAAAATGTTATTATGTGTTCATAGTGGACTTGCAGA